CATTGGCCTTCTTGGCCACTTGGACACACTGCTACCTCATGTTGGGCTTCCTGTCAATTCAAACTCCCACGTCCCTTTCTGCCTGACTGCTCTCCAACCACTCTGTGCCCAGCCTCTGGCACTGCAGGGGGTTGTTGTGACCAAAGTGCAGGACCTGGCACTTGGCCTTGTTGAACCTCATCCCATTGGAATCAACCCAACTCTCCAGTCTGTCCAGGTCCCTCTGCCGAGCCCTCCTGTCTTTCAGCTGATCGACGCTCTCCCCCAGCTTGGTGTCATCTGCAAATTTACTAATGGTGGATTCAATCTAAATCATCGATAAAGATATTAAACAGAACTGGGCCCAACACTGATTCCTGGGGGACACCACTAGTGACCGGTTGCCAACTAGATGCAGCACCGTTCACCACCACTCTCTGGGCCTGGTCAGCCAGCCAGTTCTTAACACAGCAAAAAAATAAAAATAAAAGAAAATTTGGAACCAAGTCAGTTTATTGGCTGGAGGGCAGTACATAAAGCATGAGAGAGAGGGGGCTTGATATTTGGTACAGAGAATGGAACTGTTTCTCTCGGTAGCTGAAGCTGCATGCATGGTTGGACAGTAAGTAGGAGTCCCACTGAAACCCACAGTGTGGCTCTGGGCCAGACTTCAGCTGTCATTGTCACTTTCCCAGAGGGTGTGCTTGTCAAAGAGGTACTCGGGGGTGTCATGGTTTTACTGGTTCTTGGAAACTAGGCAGGAATTTTTCCCTTCCCCCTGCCCACTGTGAGCAGGTCTGTCAAGTGAGCAGTTAAGAAACACAAAAGAAATGACTTTCTGGTTAATGGCTCAGAATGGCGTCTCCTGGGAAATGGGAGTTAGGAGCTCCTCTTTACTTTTTTTCTCTCCTCTCCTGGGAAACGGGGGGAGGAGTTCGGACTTACTGCTGAGGTTGGAACAAGGTCGGAGGAGAACTCAGAGAGGTTTTTTTTTGTTCTCAACCTGGTTGCCAACTGTGGATCCTGCTTGGATTTTCATGGCAAAGGAACTATTTTGGGAAGTTTTTTTCCCCTTCCCTGTTCCCATTTGTTTCTTCCTTAACAGTGGTCCTTGTGCACATCAAAGGGAGAAGGAAAACTATATCGCATGATTTGACCAGGGGAACAGAATGAGTTTTTTCCCATTGGGGAGGACTTTTTTTTGTTGTTTCTTTCCCCCCTCTCTCTCTCCCCTTTCCTCCCCCAGGGAGGGGAGGAAAACCCATTTTTTTTTGGTTTCTCCAACACACCCTGAAGGGTGTTACCCCCATGTGGCAATGACCAGTGATTCCACAGCGCCCCCTGCTGGACAGCATAAAGAATTGCAGGTTCTACATTTCCAGTGATATAACAGCGTCACCTGGAGACTGGCACAGGACATTACAAGCTCTGCATCTCCAGTGACCCAACAGTGCCCTCTCTTGACTGTGGTTAGAATTGCACTTAAGGGCTCAAACCGAACTGTTTACTTTTTTTTTCTTTGCTTGTTTATTGGGTTTTTTTGAAGGGGATTATTTGTGGGTATAGGAGTATTGTTTGGTTGTCTTACTTGTTTTCTTTCATTGTTTCTGCCAATACACACATCCCTGTTATTTTTCCTTTTCCATAATTTTTTTCCCCTCAATCGGAGCCTCTTAATTTTGGATTTATAATTGCTTAGAGGGAGGAGTTTGGGTCTTTTCTCATAACTCATCTTCAGCAAAGCATCTGTGTCTCATTTAAACTCGGACACTCGGCCATGCTGTATTTTGGTGCCCCCATCTTCCGCAGGTTGGTCACATGGTCACCAAGTTCCTTGATGGCTTTCACCTGCTCATCCAGGTAATGAGTCTCAATGAAGTCCCCTACACAGCAGCCCTATCTCTGTCCTGACTGTTTCAAAGCCCCTGGGGAATACTCCCCTACTATCTGCACCACCTCCTGAGCAAAAGTACCCACATCCAGGGGTCAGGTCTGCACTAGGTCAATGTCTGCTGACCTAGGCCTAAATTCAACTTTGGAGTCCAAAGACTTCATCAAAATAGGTCCATCCCACCTCCCTGGATCCCAGAGGGATCCATAAGGGCAAAAACTCAGGTAGGTGAGACTGTACCTGCACCCTGTTCCATAGACGATGTGCCAGCGATGCAAGACACCAAATGCTCCACGAGCTGCTGCAGTTCCTGACTTCTGACCAAAAGCCCCTAATGCTGCATGTTCCAAGCGTCGAGCACACTCCAGGCCATTGAGTTGTTCCTCCAGGACCACTACTTGACCCCACAAAGCCACAATCTCCTGGTCCAGGGCTCCGAGTCTGGTCAGCAGAACCCATCCCACATGGTCTGCCCCCGTCACAAACTTCACTGCAAACCAGACTTCCAGGAGAGACACCATTGTGAAAAAGGCAGCTACAGAGGCTTAAGATGTGTCGCCCGGCCATCTCATGACACAGGGGGCCACTGACATGGCCCCCCCCAGTCCTTGATCTTCTCCACAACCACTGCATGGTTACTCTGGGGAACTGCCAATTCTATGCCAAAATTGTAAGGTAAAACATATGCAGGTATTCTTTCCAAGAATGACAAGACAGCGGAAGGATTAGAAAAAAGGTTTATTTCAGATGCAAGAACCACTTTTTTACGATACAGCGCATTGGACCTTCATGGGTGAAAATGCATCTCCTGTTTTCTCCTTTGAGTTTTTATTACCTCTGCTCCCCCCTCACTCCCTGCTGGAATGGGAAGACCTATGCCTATGGCATCTACTCTCTCCTCGCATATCAGAGATCGAGTTTCTGGAATGCTGGGGGGGAGAGATCAGCACTATTTTGAGACAGTGGTAAGGCAAGTCTTTCCTAAAAGAAATAACTGACTCCTCGGTAACAAAATCTTCCACAAAAAGAGTTACTTATCCCTACACTTTCCCCCCCAATAAAAAAAAAAAAAACAAAAAAAAACAAAACCAAAAACTATTACAGTACTGCAATGACAAAACAAGCATAACTGAATAAAAGAATTTTGTATCATGGAGCAATCAACCATCACATTAACATCAGTTTTGGAAGTGATTTTAGCTCATCCTGCTTGATTTTGCAGTAAAATGGAAGTTGGGGTGGGGGTGGTGGAGGATGGATATTACAAATCTAATTGAAACACTCTAGGAACTTAAGTGCCTCAACTAAAAGTAGTGGCAAACAATGGAGGACAGGTGCTGAAGTGCTTCTAGTCTCTGTGTCTCAAACTGGCATCCTAGAGGTGGAGTGAGTAAATGCAGTGCTGAATCCTGGAGCTAAGTGCAGGATGACATGACCTGAGTTTGGTCCTGCCAGTGCATCAGTATGGGACAGGCTTTGCGCAACATTACCAGTATCAACCCATTACAGAGGTCAGTCAGAAGTTTCTCTGAATTTTAATTGTTTTGTACATCATTAAATATTATTCAGATGAAGTTTAATACAAGAACAGTAATGTATTTAAGACAGGTGATGGTACTGTACCTAATAATTTCTACCTAATAGTGTACCTTCTGGGATCAGTTTTGGGACTGGATGGCTGGTTTTTTTCCATCCATTATAGTTATCGATTTCTGGTCATAGCACAGAAAGTAACATTGTTCTCAGGAAACTTCATTACTATGTTATAGTGGGAGTATCATCTCTGTGGAGATTTATATTATGTGGGAAGATTAGGAGATATGGAATTAAACAACTGAGGTAAAACATGGCAAAAAGTAAATGTGCTTATGCTATAAATTGGGAGATCATAAACTGTAAATGACAGGAGAAAATTCTTGATATTCTAGTTGATCACACAACCTACCAGGGTGAAGTGACAAAGGGAAAAGTGAATGCAATTTTATAATTACTGCAATTTGGCAGTGAATGTTCCTGTGGAAAGCAGTCTGGAGCCTGTGTGGGATGTTGCACCTCGTCCTTGTTGCCAGTGTTGGAAAAGGAGATACTCAGACTGAAACTCAGATAAGCTCATCATTCTTGGACAGGTGTCTTTATACAAGTCATAAAAAAAAAGGCACAGTGCTAAATGACTGTGAACACGTAATCTGGAAAAGTTTGTATATGTTGACAGCAAGGTGCTAGTGCAACTTTCTGGGGTGAATAGCAGAGGCAGACCACTTAATAACATAAAGGTGAAATGAGTTCAGTTTATAGGGTATTTATGGTATTATGTATTAGATATGATTGGACAGGTAGGGTCTGGAGGATGTTTGTCATAGGTTTACTTGTTCTAAAAAAACCAAACAGGGAATTTTCCTTTCCCCTGCATCGCTGTAAAAGAAAGATGTTTTTTTTCCCTCTCCTCAGGAAATGGGAGTGACTTCACTTTGGCCTTAACTCAGGCAAGGTGTGTGTTTGAGGGGTCGGAGGTTGACTCTGTTTTCAGCCTGGTCATCTGGCTGTTTTCTGGCCCCGGCTTGCCTCCATTTTCCTATGCCCTGTTCTGCCCCCAGTCCAGACCTGCTTGGACTTCATCGGACAGGTTTGACCCATCTGCAGAGTAACTTTTTCGGGAGGAGGTTGCCCTCTCCCTCCTCCACTCCCGTGTTGGCAGCGGTGTGTGTTCATTGACGAAAGGGGGGAATTCCCAGCCACAGACAGACGAAGATGGGATGTTTAATGTTGTTGCCTTGAAGGGAGACAAACAAGCCTTTGTAAAGTGCATCTCAGGAAACATTCCCACCTAAGGGAGATTCAGAAAAGAGAGTCCAAGTAGTGTGGCTTTCACATGGTATTTCATTTACTTACCACTCAGTTTTTTGTTCTTTTTCACTTGTTCATTGACTCTCCCATTAGAGTCTCTGTTAGTGGATCAAATCTGAGACATTTTACAGTATGTGGCCAGCAATTGTCTTCTATTTATCACTTTTTTTTTTTTTTTTTAAACCTCCTTCTTTCTACTTCTAGCTGCATTTCTCAGATCAGGGATTAAAATAACTTCTGGAAAAAATTTCCATCTGTTATTTCATCATTTGTGTTTCCTTTCTAGGCCGAATTCACCAAGCTATGGTAACATCCCTAAATGAAGATAATGAAAGCGTAACTGTTGAATGGATTGAAAATGGAGATACTAAAGGCAAAGAGGTAAACATAATTATTTTATAACTTTTGTCTTTGAAAATGGGTAATCTGCATGAATTATGCTTTGGAATTTTCACTGGAAACAAAGAAAAAAATAAAAATCTTAATTTATGTGATGATTCTTTGGTTACAGACTTTGAATGGGAGTTATTGGGCAAATGCTGGTTTCTGTTGTATATTAAATTTGACTTCCTGAGCTCTTTGTCATAAGTTTTAAATAATGTTTTTCATCTTTTGATTTTGAAACATATTACAAAGGCTGACCTTGTTACCCCTTTTTGAAAGTAGAAAAATCAAATTTTTGAGAGGGAGAATGACTTGCAGTTCAGACAGGAGACCAGTGGGAGCTGGATTAGAAATCTTTTTGTGTTTGTATTATTGAGGGATTGAACTGCTAGTTTGTTTGTTTGTTTGAGGCAATAATTTTACAGCCCTGCTTTCTTTAAGAAACTTTGTGTTTCTCAGTTATGCTTTGCTGTCCCCCTTTCCTGTAAATTTTGGATCATGTTAGCCAGTTTCAGCTGAGATTTGGAGAAGCAGCTCAGAAATAATTGCATTTCACCAGTTTTATAAAAACATGGGGAAAAGGAAAAAAAAAGGTTGTGAGAATGTCCTGGTGATCTCATCAACTGAACTCATCCCACTGGACACAGAATCTGTAGAGTAGTGAGGTGTTTGAAAGGTCCAGCCAAAGGAAATGGCAGTCTATAGAGACCAAAGCTATTTAAGATTTTTAGGAAACTGGGTTTCAGTAGTTCTGAAACCAGTAATTTTTAAGTTCCTGTCCTTCTCCCCCTTGCATTTTGCAGCTTTTTGAATGAGGAACATTTATAAGGGAAAAAAATAGCATGATAAATTTGACATGGTTTCAACTGTGTTTTTATTTTTTGGGTGGTTGTAATTCATCTGTTTCTTTTGCACTCTCTGGGAAATTTCAAATAATTGAGATCTCTTTCTTTTTATGTTACAAAATGTCTTTCATATTCTGCAGTAATTGACAAATTACCACAGTAATACTAGCTACTTCTGTTTAATTTAATCACTTTACTGAATTATGAATACTTTTTGGTGTTGCATCCCACTCCTAAGAGGAAGGGAGCACCCAAGATTCATAGATGCCTGTGGCCGAAAAGGAATGGTAAAAGCCAGAAGGGTCCGAAAAAACATACAGAGTTTTATTATCAAATCATACACTTGGCATGGAAATTGGTATAAATTTTACCCTTATTTCCTAGTAGTAAGAGAAAGAAAAGAATAAAAGAGGGAAGAGGGAAAGACAGTGTGAGAGATGAGGTAGGAGAGGAAAGGAGATCACCAGTCTTGGTTCCAACATCAATCCAACTGATGGAGTGTCCAGGGTCCTGAGGGCACCACCTGGGCTTTGTGGGGGTACCTTTTTATAGGTAAGTTTTCCCTGCTCTCAGATTAGATTTCTTGCTCTCCATGTCAATGAGTTAGCATGCACAGTCTGTTCTTCTAGACCTTTCTGGAAATGGGTTGGGGGGCTTTGAGGGTCTTTGGTGGTCTCGATCCCCCTCTATTGGATTGACCTTTAGTCAACAGTTCATGCCTGTTTCTTGATCCCACTTCTGTGCTTGCACTGTCCTTTATGTTGGACAGTCACCATGGACAAGAACAGGGACATGAACCTCAGAGAAGTGCTGCCCTACCTTCCTACAGCCCCCCTATTCAGCTACATCCTGTTCTAACTTGTCAGCTTGCACAGTTATTGGTGTTTGAAACATAGTAGCACATTAACTCCTTGTTGTCCAAGCTTCTACAATTGGTTATTTTTTAATTAATCTCTTTTCTGAAGGATATGTTTTCAACTTATATGAAGACCAAAGCTTACATTGTTTTTAGTGAATATAAAATAAGACCATTCAGGTTATAGAATTAACAAATTGTGTGGTAAAAACACTAAATAAACACTTTATTGTTTATTATCAAAAGTATCAGGAGAAATGGAGAGGGCGAATATTGTTCTAAGACTCATAAATGCATTTTATATTCTTTTACACAGATTGACTTGGAGAGCATATTTTTGCTTAACCCAGATCTTGCACCTGATGAAGACATTGAACCTAGTCCAGAGACACCACCACCACCTACTCCAGCAGCCAAAGTAAACAAAATGGTGAAGGTTGGTAATACCTATGCAACATGTCCATATTAAACTTTAAGTACTCCTATACATGTTGTTATGTTTGAATATTTAAATCTAACTTTTGTGTCTGTGGAGCTACTTGATAACTGTGTTCCTTTCTTTTTCCTTTGATGAATAGGGGTTTCTAAAAATTTTCTAAGAAGAGGTTTAGCAGAGAGGGAGTTGGGGACTAATATTCATATAACTAAATATATCTCAAGGAAAAATATAGAAAACGTTTTGGAGGTTGTTTTGAAACCATATGTTTAGTGCAAGCAGTCCACCCTGGGCTCTTCAGGGAAGGATTTGGTAGCAATCACCTCTCTGTATTTCTGATGTCATGTTATTTTTATTAACTGGAAAGAAGTGAAGGGCTGCAGTTTACCTTTTCAATAATAAGGTGATCAAATAACAGAAATTTCTTTCATTACAGAGTCAACGAACTGTGGCACCTATTAAGAACGACACTCCTGCCAGAGATAACAGAGGTAAATGTTATGTCTTTCCCTTTCAAGGAAGGTAAATATATGGGAACATTTTAATCTCCTGCTCATATAACATTTCTTAATAGTTCTACATTTCTAATTCTAACCCTACAGGTTATTTCTCACTCTATGCTTAAATAGTGTAAAAGCTACAAAAATGCTGAAATATCACAGGATGATAGGTGAAAAGTTTGTATTGGATGAATATAGATGTAACGTATCTAATAGCGGGAGAAATAATTGGTCATTGTTTTTATTTTCTCTCCTGCATTAAAGTAAGCTCTGTAAGACTTGATATGTATGCAGGTAACCAGAGAGCTAAACCAGGGCTAAAACATTGAGGAAAGTTTAATTTGAAATCAGAAATGTGGGAAAAAACACACCCAGGAACCGGTCTCCTGTCTTACATATCACAGATGCCCACTAGGTTGTTCTTTTACAGATCTAACTTTCTCTTATCTCCCTTCCCCCCAAGCCTGTGGGAAAGAATGCTTTGAAATTTTAAACAACCTGCAATTATCATCCTTAATAGAAACTTCCTTCTGTTTCAGCAAAAACAGCCCAAGGGAAAGACAGAATGTTAGATTTCCCACACTATACCTCTCCCAGACTTAACCTTCCAGGTGCGGAAGGTCTCTTGAGCAAAGAAAATCCTTAAACAACTCACCCTTCCTCCTTGCCCAAAATCTTCCATTTGTCACCCCTGCCTCCCCACAGCTCATACTGATGGTGGCGATGATTCTTCTTCCAAACATTAATCTACTGACATTAATTTAGGCTAGATTCCATTCTATCTGTTAAAACTTGACAAACAAGTGGGCTTGCACATCTTTTCAAGTGTTCAGACTCTTCTGGTCAATGATTGGGATCACTTTCTGTCTTCTGCCATTTGCCTCTGGGGGTGTTAATTCAGAAACTTCATGAAGAGGGGATTGTTTTTCAAACTAATATGGTTTAAATTTGACATATCTTCTCAATGGGCTCTCCTCCCATCCATCACTTCTAGTAAATGTTTTGTTTTGTATAGAATAACCCCATAGCTTGTATTTTAATAGGTCCTATGCATCTTACTATTCACAGTTGGCCTAAGTATTTGTTGGTCTTATAATTAAACTTTTCTCAGCACACTGTCTTGTTTAGTATAGTTAATTCATGCTAGAAGCTAGATCTCCTATCATATTTTGAATGATCTGGGGATTTGTTTTGTCTATCCCATTTGATACCCGATTCCATAGTTTTCTCCATGTTGCACAGTGTGTCGGTCTTCATTTGGAATGTCATCTCTAGGTTGCTAATCAAAAGTGTTACCTTCACTTTCATACTCTTCTGGCAGACCTTGTTAGGAACATGTACAGAAAAACGGCCATCTGAAGCAGAGCTGGTTGAAGCAACTCTGAAAACCAAAACATTCAGCTCTACCAAAGAGGCTAGCATGCATACCACTCCCACTGCATTCATTGGGAAAAGACATCACTCTGCATCTTCAGAAATAGGAATCCTTATTACATATCATAGAATCAATAAGTTTAACTTTCCAGTATAATGTCAAAAAGGTTTGTTTATCCCACTTATAGACTGAGCTGCACTTTGCTGCCTTTCATTTGTATCCCTCTACTCATCCGCAAATTGTAGGTTCAATGGGGTGGGACCATTTTGTAACATCTAGAGAATGTAAACAGTGGGTCCTTTTTTTTTACTGGATTTTTGTGTATAATTACAATATAAATAAAATATGACAGAAGTGAACAGTTGTTTAGCCACAGCACTCTGAAAAAGCTTTTTGAGGAAACCTACAGTCAACTGCATATATAGAGAACATCTGTCATTTATGGACAACAACATAATTCATTCTATTCACATAATAAGTTCTATTAATCCTGTAGTGGAGTATTCAAAAATATTCACATGCAGCATCGATACTTAATAATTATGTTGTGTTGGTGTATAACACTAGGATAAAAGAAGTTGCATACTGAATGTCTTTATTAATACTTTTTACATGTATGGCTCTCCTCTCCCTCTTCCCCAACAAATTGTTGTGTTTTGAAAGGCGTCTCTTTTTATTTTGTCATAAAGTATTTAGAATCAGATAGAAATGTTACTCTTCCATATCTAGATGAGCTTTGTGCTTTTCATTTGCAGTGGTTGGTTCTGCACGCACGCGTCCTGCTCAGCTTCCTGAACAGTCTTCTTCCTCTCAACAGAATGGTAGTGTTTCAGATATATCTCCAGTTCAAGCTGCAAAAAAGGAATTTGGACCTCCCTGTATGTAAACTGTGTATCAAGGATTCATTTGTTCTGGGCATTAAATGTCCATTTTTTTCAATTATGTTGTTCTTTCTAATATTTGGAATTTGTTTTTCCTTATGTCTTTTTAACCATGACAGTGTTTTTTTAATGTATCTGGGTTTTCTTTTAATTCAAACCAAGAGATGACATGTAACCAAATATCATCACACATGCAAATATTTTTTGAGGGCCATTGTCATTATATTTTCAGTTGTGTAATTATTGTCCCATTCCTATGATTTTTTTGCATTCATTTATTCTATACATTTTAGAAATTAAATTACTGTAATTATTTTGTACTATTACTGGTTTACTTGAAAAGATAGTTGATATAAATAAATGCATTCTAATCATTCATAAATTGGAATTGAAATGTCATAGCGTAAATACTAAATTCATGCAACATTAAAAATATTTTAAAATTATATCATTTTCTTTAAGCACGTAGAAAATCTAATTGTGTAAAAGAGGTTGAAAAACTGCAAGAGAAACGTGAAAAAAGAAGGTTACAGCAGCAGGAACTTAGAGAAAAAAGAGCTCAGGTTAGTATTTTCAGCTCAGATGGAAAGTGTATATCAGGAAAAGGAATTGTTTGCAAAATGATGTGATTTTTTCAGTCTTCAATCTGAAATGCTTTTATCCTGTATACAGTTTTGATAAGTATTTTGGTGCATGGTTGCATTGCTTTGGTAACTATTTCTTTAGACAGTTTCCCCCCTCTCTTTTTTCCTACAGAAATAATTGCTTGCAATTGCTTATCATTCCGTGTGTTATTTAAAAATCAAGTCCTGATAATAGCTATTGCTTAAGGAAAATATATTGATGAAAATAATCAAATATTTGGCTTTTATATAGGGCTGTTATTCTGTAGGAGGTATTAATAGAATCATGGAATGATTAAGGTTTGAAAAGGCCTCTAAGATCATAGAGTCAAAGTGTCAACCCAGCACCACTGTGTTTACCACTAAACCATGTTCCCAAGTGCCACATTCACATGTTTTCTGAACACTTCCAGGAATGGTGATTCCAATAATTCCCTGGGCAGCCTGTTCCAATGCTCAACAATTCTTTCTGTGAAGAAATGTTTTGAGCCCATTTCCTCTCATCTTGTCACCTGTTACCTGGGAGAAGAGGTTGACCCCCACCTCACCACAACCTCCTTTCAGGTAGTTGTAGAGTGAGAAGGTCCCCCCTGAGCCTCCTTTTCTCCAGACTGAGCCTCCCCATCTCCCTCAGCTGCTCGTCATCAGACTTGTCCTCCAGACCCCTCCCCAGCTCTGTCACCATTCCCTGGACATGCTCCAGCACCTCAATGTCTCTCTTGTCGTGAGGGACCCAAAACTGAACACAGGATTTGAGATGCAGCCTCAGCAGTGACCAACACAGGGGGACAGTCGCTGCCCTGGTCCTACTGGCCACACTACTGCTGATACAAGCCAGGATGCCATTGGCCTTCTTGGGCACCTGGGCTCATGTTCAGCTGTTGTTGACCAGCACCCCCATGTCCTTTTCACAGAATCACAGAATGGTTAATGTTGGAAGGGACCACAGTGGGGACATCTAGTCCAACCTCCCTGCTCAAGTAGGGTCATCCTAGAGCACATCGTACAGGATTGCATCCAGGAGGTTCTTTAATATTTCCAGTGAGGGAGACTCCATGACCTCTCTGGGTAACCTGTTCCAGTGTGTGGTCACCTGCACAGTAAAGAAGTTCTTTCTCATATTCAGGTGGAACTTCCTGTGCATCAGTTTCTGTCCGTTGCCTCTTGTCCTATTGCTTGGCACCACCAAGAGGAGCCTGGCTCCACCCTCTTGAAACCCTCCCTTTAGATACTGATATACATTAATGAGGTCCCCTCTTAGTTGTCTGTTCTTGAAGCTGAACAGGCCCAGTTCCCTTAGCCTTTCCTCATAAGACAGATGCCCCAGTCCCCTAATAATCTTTGTTGCCCTCCTCTGGGCCCACTCCAGGAGCTCCATGTCTCATACTGAGGAGCCCAGAACTGGACACAGTACTCCAGATGCAACCTCACCAGAGCTGATGACACCAAGCTGAGTGGTGCAGTTGATACACCTGAGGGATGGGATGCCATCCAGATAAACCTATACAAGCTCGAGAAGTGGGTCCACGGGAATCTCATGCAATTTAACAAGACTAAGTGCAAGGTGCCACACCTGGATAGGGGCAAGCCCCAGTATCAATACAGGCTTGGGGATGAACAGATTGAGAGGAGCCCTACCAAGAAGAACTTGTGGGTGCTGGTGTATGAGAGTCTGGACATGAGCTGGTAATGTGCGCTTGCAGCTCAGAAATCCAACCATGTTCTGGGTTGCATCAGAAGCATGACCAACAAATCAAGGGAGGTGATTCTGCCCCTCTGCTCTGGTGAGGCCCCACCTGGAATACTGCATCCAGCTCTGAGGTCCCCAGTACAGGAAGGACATCAACCTGTTGGAGTGAGTCCAGAGGAGGGCCATCAAGTTGATTAGAAGGATGGACCACCTCTCCTATGAGGAAAGACTGAGAGAGTTGGGATTGTTCAGCCTGGAAAAGAGAAGGCTTTGGGGTGACCTAATTGCAACCTTCCAGTACCTGAAAGGAGCCTACAAGAAAGATGGAGAAAGACTATTTACAAGGGCATGCAGTGACAGAACAAGGAGGAATGGCTTCAAACTGAAAGAGGGTACATTTAGATTAGATATTAGGAAGAAATTGTTGACTGTGAGGGTGATGAGGCACTGGTACAGGTTTCCCTGAGAAGTTGTGAATGCCCCATCCCTGGAAGTGTTCAAGGCCAGGTTGGATGGAGCTCTGAGCAACCTGGTCTAGCAAAAGGCGTCCCTGCCTGTGTCGAGGGGCTTGGAACTAGATGACCTTTAAGGTCCCAGCAGGTTGGCCCCCAACCTGTACTGATGCATGGGATTATTCTTCCCCAGGTGCAGGAACCTTCATTTACCTTTGTTGAACTTCAGACAGTTCCTCTCTGTGCATCTCTCCAATCTGTCAAGGTCCTCCTGAAGGGTTGCACAGCACTCTGGGATATCAGCCAATCCTCCCAACTTTCTGTCATCATCAAACTTACTGAGGAGGCACTCTGCCCCTTCATCCAAGTCATTGATGAATAAGTTAAACAATACTGGGCCCAGTATTGAACCTTGGGGAATACCACTAGTGACAGGTCTACAACTAGACCCTGTGCCACTGATTACAACCCTCTGGGATCTGCTGTTCAGCCAGTGCTCAATCCACCTCACCATCCACTCATCCAGTCCACACTTCCTGAGTTTATCTATGAGGATGTTTTAAGAGACAGTGTCAAAAGTCTTGCTGAAGTCCAGGTAGACAATATCCACTGCTCTCCCTTCATCCATCCAGGTAGTTGTCTCATCGTAGAAGGCAATCAAGTTGATCAAACATGACTTATCTTTAGTGAATCCATGCTGACTACTCCTGATCACCTTCTTGTTCTCCATGTGTTTAGAGAGGGCCTCCAAAATGATGTCCTCCATCACCTTTCCAGGGATTGAGGTGAGGCTTACTGGTCCTTCTTGCCCTTTTTGAAGAACGGGGTTACATTTGCTATCTTCCAGTCCTCAGCCACCTGTCCTGATCACCACGACCTTTTAAAGATCATTGTGAGTGGCCTTGCTATGGTGTCTGCCAGCTCTCTCAGGATGTGTGGATGCATCCCATCAGGGCCCATGGACTTGTGAATGTCAAGTTTTTTTAGGTGTTCTCTGACCCAATTCTCCTTGACTAAGGGAAAGTCTTCATTCCAACATTCCTTTTTCCTGGTCTCCTGGGCCAGAGATCCCTGAGGGCTGGTCTTGTCAGTGAAGACCAATGCAACAAAGGCATTCAGTACCTCTGCCTTCTCTGCATCCTCTGTTACCAGGGTCCCCCCTCCAAGTATCGGCCCACATTATCCTTTGTTTTCCTTTTGTTATTGATGTACTTGAAGCAGCCCTTCCTGTAGTCCTTGACATCCTTGGCCAGATTTAATTCCAGATGGGCCTTGGCCTTTCTCGTCTCATTTCTACTTACTCTGACAACCTCTCTCTATTCATTCCAAGTGGCCTGACCCTACTTCCACCTCTAGTGTATTTCCTGCTTGTGCTTGAGTAATGACAGGAGTTCATTGTTCATCCATGCAGGTCTCTTGCCCCCTTGGCCCAATTTCTTTCTTATTGGGATGCATCGTTCTTGAGCCTGGAGGAAGTGATCTTTGAATATCAAGTCTTGGACCCCTCTTGGACCCCTCTTCCCTTAGGGGCCTGTTCCCATGGGATTCTTCCAAGAAGATCCCTGAAGAGGCTAAAGTTAGCTCTCCTGAAGTCCATGGTTATAATCTTACTTGTTGCCCTGCTTCCTCCTTGCCCAATACTTAACTCCATGATCTCATGGTCACTACAGCCAAGGCTGCCCCTAACCTTCACATCTCCAACAAGGCCTTCCCTGTTAGTTAGTATAATGTTTCCGCTGGGCAGCTTTCTAGCCAACACAGTAAGGTGTTATAAACTTGCGGGGAAAAAAATGAAGTTTTTAATCCTTTGAGAAAATCTATTAATATTAAATGACTTCCTGTCATAGAAGTGTAAAAGTTTAAGCAAAACTAGTAGTGTAATCTTGTTGGCATGCCTGTTTATGTGTTAGTCTCTTTAGAGAGATACTACAGGGGTGGATCTACTGGATGCCAGATGCCCACCAAAGCTGCTGTATCACTCCCTTCCTCAGCTGGAGAGGGGAGATAAAATATAATGAAAGGCTTGTGGGTTGAGATAAGGGCAATGAGAGATCACTCACTGATTACTGTCACAGGCAAAACAGACTTGACTTGGGGAAATTAATTGAATTTATTACCATTCAAATTACAGTAGGATAATGATAAGTAAAACAAATCTTACAAACACCTTCCCCCCACCCCTCCCTCCTTCCTAGGCTCAACTTTATTCCTGATTCTCTACCTCCTCCCCCCAGTGGCACAGGGAGACAGGAATTGGGGGTTACAGTCAGTTCATCACATGCTTCTGGTGCTGCTTCCTCCTCAGGGACAGGACTCATTCCCCTGCTCCAGTGTGGGGTCCCTCCCATGGGAGACAATCCTCCATGGACTTCTCCAACATAAGTCCTTCCCACAGGCTACAGTCCTTCTCAAACTGCTCCAGCATGGGTCCTTTTCCACAAGGTGAAGTCCTTCAGGAACAGACTGCTCCAACATGGATTTCCCACAGGGTCACAAATCCTGCCAGCAAACTTGGTCCAGCATGGGCTTCTTTCTCCATGGGACTGCAGGTCCTGCCAGGAGCCGGCTCCACCGTGGGCTTCCCACAACAGGGTCATAGTGTCCTTTGGGCATCCACCTTCTCTGGTATGGGGGTCCTCCATGGGCTACAGGGGGACAGCCTGCCTCACCATGGGTTGTACCATGGGCTGCAGGGGAATCTCTGCTCCAGCACCTGGAGCACCTGCCCCTCCTTCTTCACTGACCTTGGTATCTGCAGAGTTGTTCCTCTCACATATTCTCACTCCTCTCATCTCTGTCTGCAAGTACTTCCACACAATAATTTTTTTCCCTTTTTAAATATGTTATCACAGAGGTGTTACTGCCATAGCTGATGGGTTCAGCCTTGGCCAGTGGGAGGTCCATCTTGGAGCTGACTGGCATTGACTCTATTGGACATAGGGGAAGCTTCTAGCAGCTCCTCTCACAAGCCACTTCTGTAGCCCCCCCTCTACCCAAAACCTTGCCATGCAAACCCAATACAACTGCCAATCTGCTAGTGATATAAGGAATAACACCACCAAGTAAATTAAGACAATTTACTTCATGGTTTAATGATTTTTCTAAGTTGACCTAAATTCACTTATTTTGAATTCTTGGTCTCTAATTTCCATCCACTTAAACAAATGCAAAGTATTACTATGGCTTTATATGTGAGGAGCAAATAATTGGAGCAAATAATTTGTTTCATATGTCAAAATTCTTTGATGTGGTTCTTCACCTAAAATTTTCTTTTTATCACTTCTGTGACAACTCCCTTTTCATCCAAACTTAAAATTTCTCTATGAAAAAGTTATGTTTTTCTTGGTGACTTGTATGTATTATGCTTTGTGTTGTTTTGTGTATTCTGTTGTTGTTGTGAAATGCATCAATAATTAACCAAGCACTGGCTTCTGGTGGGCAAGACCTCTAAGCAGAGTTTGAAGAATATTAGGCAAATATCTTTTCCATAATAAGCAATACCCCTTTCTGAATGTTAGAAGGAAATGTTTCAGCAGGAATACATTTATTATGGACTTACTATAAGTAGGTTTTAGTTCACTGTAGTCAGGGTCAACAACCCAAAGTTACAGTCAACTTCTGATAACTAGGGTACAGTTTTGTCTTAAGTGTGGATCATCTGTGTTACAGGTGTAGAGACATGAGTGGGCTCTATTTCAGCTTATTAACCCCAATGCAGTGCTTTCTGAAAGTGCCTATGCTATTTCCACAGTCAGATGTGATCCAGAAGGAGATTTAGCTCATTTGTGGGAAGCCATGCAAAGTTTAATAAGGTCTGAGCACCAGAGCTGGCTATGCATTTCATCAGAAGCATGTCCTGAAATGGAGTAAAAACTGATAGTTGCAGGGAGAACTCACAGGAAGGACATTTGAATGATTATGCAGTGAACCAGCACAGCCCACAACAGGCTCAGTAGCTCAGGCTTTGCAAGGTTTAGAGGGGCTCTGGGCATGGCCTTCTATATGACCATTCTCTCAGATGCTCATGGTTCCAAGTTTAGGGACAGGAGACCTTGTGTGCCTGGATGTAGCCTACTGTGTATCATTTGGATTGATTCTGCTTTTTTTGGGGGTCTAGGAGTGTTAGAACAGTTTCCAATGCATCCAAGTAACTATAGGAGTTAAGTGAGGACCAGTAAGTAGGATCAACCTCCTTTAACCAATGTGGATGCAACAGGATTGTGTTTAGAGTGGTTCGGGCACCTGCACTTTACTCTGCAGTGTGTTTTGTACCTGTATAATAGAGAGTATCCATTTGTCTGTTGGACCACCATATCTCAGATTAAGAACCATTGACTGTATACGCTATCCGTTGTGCAATTGTTCAGTTGTGTTTCTTTAATGTGAAGATTTTTGCAAAACCAGTAGTCACTTCTTTTTTTAGTAGAATTTTAATGAGTTCCCAATCCAAAAGTATTTTCTAATACATGCCAACCAAAAATATTAAATAGAAAGCATATAGTTGTTTTGCCTTATGATCAGTAAATTAGCTACATCAGAATTGAAAAAGGCATTAAATTTGCAGTTGAGACATTTAGGGTGTTTTGGAGAAAAATTAACATTTCAGTTAATGTGGATTTTTTTCGAATAAATTTAGAAGTTACTGAAATTAGTTAATTTCAGGAAAAAAGTATATTAGAAGTTTTCTGTTGCTTATTTCCCTAGGATGTTGATGCTACAAACCCAAATTATGAAATTATGTGTATGATAAGAGATTTCAGGGGAAGTTTGGATTATAGACCACTGACAACTGCAGATCCTGTAAGTACCTGAGTGATGTGGAAATTTTTTATCCTTCTGAATTTTGCTCTCTGTTTCCAATTTTTTCAATGTATGTACCTCGCCTTGAACACTTCCATAGAGGGAGTATCCACAATTTTTCTGGGAAACCTGTGCCTCACCACCCTCACAGTAAAGAATTTCTTCATAACATCTAATCTAAATCTCTTCTCTTTTATTTTAAAACTGTTCCCCCTCATCACTGCACTCCCTGAGAAAAAAATCTCTCCCAATCTTTCCTGTAGGCCCCCTTTAGGTATTGGAAGGTTGCTATAAGGTCTACCCAGAGCCTTCTCTTCTCCAGGCTGAACAGTCCCAACTCTTTCAGCCTGTCTCCATAGCAGATGTGCTCCAGCCCTCTGAGTATCTTCATGGCCTCCTCTGGACTCGCTCCAACAGGTCCACATCCTTCTTATGCTGGAAGCCCCAGAGCTGGATGCAGTACTCCAGGTGGGGTCTCACAAGAGCGGAGTAGAGGGGGAGAATCACCTCTCTCGACCTGCTGGTCACACTTATGATGCAGTCCAGGATGTGATTCACTTTCTGGGCTGTGAGCACACACTACCAGCTCATATTCAGTTTCTCATTCACCAATACCTCCAAGTCCTTCTTGGCAGGGCTGCTCTCAATCCACTCATTGTCCAGCCTGTATCCGTATTTGGGATTGCCCTGACCCAGGTGCAGGACCTTGCACTTGGTCCTGTTGAACTTCACAAACTTCACATGGACCCAACTCTGAAGCCTGTTAAGGTCCCTCTGGATGGCATCTCTTCCCTCCAGCATGTCTACCACACCACACAGCTTGATATCATCTGCAACCTTGCTGAGGGTGAAGCTGATCCCACTGTCCATATCACTGATAAAGATGTTAAACAATCCTGGTCCCACTATCAACCCCTGATGTAGCCCCCCCACTACCAAAACCCAGCCACAAAAACCCACTACACCTGAGGAACGCCACTCCTCACTGGTCTCCACTTGGACATCAAGCCATTGACTGCAACTCTTTGAGTGCGGCCATCCAACCAATCCTTTATCCACTAAGTGGCCCATCCATCAAATCCATGTCTCCCCAGTTTAGAGAATAGGATGTAATGCCGGACAGTGTCAAATGCTTTGCACAATTCCAGGTAGATGGCATCAGTCACTCTTCCCTCATCCATCAATGCTGTAACCCCGTTGTAGAAGGCCACCAAGTTTGTCAGGCACAGGGTCCAGGGGAGGGCCACAAAGATGATTAGGGGTCTGGAGCACCTCTCATGAGGAGAGACTGTGGGAACTGGACCTGTTTAGTCTAGAGAAGACTGAGAGGGGATCTAATTAATGCATATAAATATCTCAAAGGCGGGTGCCAAGAGATTCTTTTCGGTGGTGCCCAGCAACAGGACAAGGAGCAATGGCCATAAACTAAAACACAGGAGATTCCACCACAACATGAGGAAGAACTTCTTTACATTGAGGGTGGCAGAGCACTGGAACAGACTGCCTAGGGAGGTCATGGAGTATCCCTCTCTGGAGACATTCAAAACCCACCTGGACACATTCTTGTGTCACCTGCTCTAGGTAAACCTGTCTTAGCAGGGGGGTTGGACTGGATGATCTCCAGAGGTCCCTTCCAACCCTAACTATTCTGTGATTCTGTGATTTGCCCTTAGTGAAGCCACGCTGGCTATCACCAATCACCTCCTTATTTTCCATATGCCTTAGCTTAGTTTCCAGGAGGATCTGCTCCATGATCTTGCCAGGCACTGAGGTGAGTCTGACAGGCCTGTAGTTCCCTGGGTCTTCCTTATTTCCCTTTTGAAAAATCAGGGTTATGTTTCCTCTTTTTCAGTCATGGGAACTTCACCAGACTACCATGACTTTTCAAATATGATGGATAGTGGCTTAGCCACTTCCTCAACCAGTTCTTTCAGGACCCATGGATGTATCTTGTAGGGTCTCAGGGAATTGTGCACTTTCAGGTTCCTTAGATGGACTCAAACCTGATCTTCTCCTTTGGTGGGTGGTACTTCATTTTCTCAGACCCTGCCGTTGGATTCTGTGAGTTGGTCAGTGTGACTGGAGCACTTGCCAGTTAAGACCAAGGAAAAAAACTGATTGAGTACCTCAACTTTCTCCATGGCCCAAGTAGCCAGGTCTCCCGTTTTGCTCATTGGGGGGTGTGGGTGGATAGGTGTACAGTTTCTTTTATCTTTCTTTCTTGTCCCATATGCCTGTAGAAACTCTTGTTATTTTTCATGTCCTTAGCCAAGTTCAACTCCAGCTGCACCTTGACTTTCCTGATCTCCTCCCTGCACTCCCAGGCCACATCCCTATAATCTCCCTAGGATATGTCTCACTGCCTATGCATTTTGGTTTTGTGTTTTAGTTTGGGTTCTAGGTTATTGTGCAGATGCAAGGGGCTTTTACACATTCAGATGACTCACTGTCTTGTAAATTTCTCTTTGTTTAAATTATATTATTATTCAAGAATAGAAGTAAAATATTGCATAACTGGAATGGGGGTATAGTTCACTAAAAGATTGTTTCCTTTGTAGATTGATGAGCACAAGATATGTGTTTGTGTACGAAAACGACCACTCAATAAAAAAGGTATGACCATATAAGATTTTGCAATTTTTTTTTCTCTGAAAAGCTGCTTCTGATAGTAATATTATTTGTATTAAATAGATCTAGAAATACTGATCAAAGATGAAACACTGTTATACTAGACAATATGTGTGAGGCACCCAGAAAATTCATAAGCTTATCATAACCTGAATAAAGATGGGGAGAAAAGTAGTTTAACTGTCACCGTTTTATGAAGTGTAATTTTTTTCCCCAAGGTTATCTAGGATGTATTTAGTTGATCTGGGAATTAATTCTACTGTAATTTCTTCAGTATTATTACATTGTGTTAGGATCACCATTCTTTTAAACTATTCTTTAAGTGATCACCTGATCAGTGAGCTACTCAATGAAAATTTTTCTACACTTTTTTTATACCTGTATATTTGTACTTTCAAGTCTTGAATCAAACATCAAGGGTACAATTCATGTGCTTGAATGTTGGTGTCTTATGACATTTAAGGTGCTCAAGGGTGTCCAAGACATCCTTGCAGGATTAGCAGGTTATAGACAAACTGGAGACTTGTATCTACTGGAGTTGTTGCTCAGGGCTGGGCAGGATACCTTAGGGCATATGGAATGGCACTAAACCTAATTTTTAGGTACTGGAATCATTCTCTAGTGATTTCTTTTCTGGTATGATTAGCATTACAACTTTTTTTCTTACTGTCTGCTGATCAGACTGGAGTCTGTATCCCTCCCCCAAAAAAACCATTTAGATTTTCAACTCCAACTAAATCCCAATCTTTCTATGAAGTTCTTTACTTTCACAGGAAATTAGGAACTGCAAATGCTTCTGGATTTCATCCTATCTGAATCCAGAACTAAAGTAAGCTGATTTTCATTTTGAAAGATGTTTCTTTCCTTCTCTTTGTTTTTTTTTTTTTTTAGCTTAAACACTCAAAGAACTTTGAAACAATATGGGATGAATTTTTTATTTTTGTACTGTCAACTACACATTGAGGATTATCTGGAGGATATCCAGAGGAACATGGGAGAATTGTATAGGAAAGGGAAAACATATGTTGATGTCAGTATATAGTTAGTTTTCTTTTGTCTTATTTTTTCCCCTCCAGATTTTTGTTTATTTTTACTTTTGCAGTTTTCTTATTCCATATATTTTTTCTTTTATTGATCTGAAAGGAATGCATAATCTCAAAAATTGATTGAAACTATTTTTCACAACCTATGTAATAAGGGTATTCAATATACAAGTCTGGTAACAGTTCAATTTCTGTTTTAGCATTGGAGGTTATCTTTAATAAAATATGACAGGTTATAATAAAAGGTATTAATGAAATAATGTATGCTGGCAAGGAAACATAGAGATAATTTCGTACCCACATAATGCAGTATTCTGAGAGCATTCACTTTAATTTTGAAATAATATTTCTCTCGTCACATTTTTAAATTATGTAAAATTATATAAAGTATAAAGAAATCAAAGATATTAGTCTGTAATACCTTGAAGAGAAAAAATATCGTTTTTCCTTTATTATTGCAATAACAACAAGCCAATAATATCATCTTTCCCCTTTCATGTTCTGTATTTTGAAATACTGTAAGATGCTCAATTAATTTAATAGAAATCAAGTGTATAAATCAATTTCTGTCAGTCTCACAAACACAGAATTATCACCAAAGTCTTTAGGTGTTCTCAGCACCAATCATTCTGTGGATTGACTTTGCAGGAAGTAGGACACATTAGTGATCCTGACTGTACACAGAAAGAATCTTTATTTTTGTGCATATCATGGATCACTGGGTTCTCTGTTTTGCTGAGTCATATCTCATACAACAACTAGCAATAAATTGTAGTGCTGTGTAACCTGGGGACTCACTATTGAAAACACATCTAGATGGTTTTTGTTCCTTCCTAGTGATAGGAAGCATCATTAGCACGTTCAACTTTTTTACTGATGTCCACTTCCCTAAATCCACTCTCTAACTAGGACTTTTTCACTCCCTAGCTGTCTGCAGGCTTGGTGGTGAAATAAAGAGAGTTCGACTGCAGTAGCAAAACGAGCGTTTTATTCTTCGTCCTCTTTGTCTCATGCGCAACAGGGTGAGGGGAAGTGGAGAACAGCACCAGAAATGGTTGAAGAGCCAATTCTGGAATGCAATGTTTACATTAAACATATTTATTAGACCTAGCACAAAGATTTCACAGGCTACAGGGGCAGGGATCATGCAGGGAACTACTTGGCACACAGTTATACAATTTTTAAAATTTACTCACTCCATCTAAACTCTATTACACTATCATATGGCACTCTGGCACTGCTACATATAAGGTTATATTTTTCTATAAGTAAGGTAGGAGTTAAAAGTCCTTTTTTCTCAGTTTTAACTTGAGCTGCAGGTGTCTGGCGCATGATGTTCCTCTGCAGAAGTTTAGCAGTTTTCTTTCACTCTCACTGAGTGTCCAAGGCAGTTTGCTGGATTCCATCCTTATCTTTGAGGCCTCTTGCTGAACAACTGCACCTGCTTTACCAGGCCTAATGTCTGCCTTGTACCGGTTTTTCTCCTTACAAATAATTTTAAGAAAAGAATTTCCTGTAGAGATATTCTATATTAAATATGCATATTTGAGATTCCATGAGGAATTTAATTAATGGTCAGTCTTCGCGAGCGAAGATCTGGGGAAGGTCTTTACACCTTCCAGCCTGCGCATTGGATTTTTTAGGTGAGACACAGTGTGCGCGGAACTGAGCCCACCCTTGAATCCTAAGGTTCATCTGCCGGGGTCAAGCAAGTTTGGACGGTGGCAGCGAGGTCCTCAGGACGTAGATGGGTTGCCTTTAAGGGCTAACGAGCTCCATCTGCCCGGGAGTGGCCCTGACCAGGAATCGAACCCGGGCCTCGGTGGTGACAGCGCCGCACCCTTAACCACTAGACCACCAGGGGCTCCCCATGAGGAATACACAAATGAAAATGTCTGTGTAGAATGAAACCAGTTTTTTCTTTTTGAAAGCTTTGAACATATGGCTATAACTTTAAGGATTTACAAAAAATTAAAAGATAAATTTAAAATGAAGTTATAATGATGGTGTTATCATTAATGATCTTAGCTTTTCTAATCGACTTTGTACAACCTTTCTTTACTTTCTAGCACTTGGTAAGATAGGACGACTAGACTTCAAAAATGAAAGCAGATTACTATCTAGGTATCAGAAGCCCAAGTGCATTGCAGTGTTGTTACTTGCAGGAGCTGTGTTATCTGAGACATTATAAGAGTGTAAACAATGAAAATATGTAAAAAATAGTAATGTGTTGCTACTTAAATATATGTTTTTCATTTATTTTATAGAAACTTCAATGAAAGACCTTGATGTAATAACGATTCCTAGTAAAGATGTTGTGATGGTACATGAACCAAAACAAAAAGTGGATTTAACAAGGTACCTAGAAAACCAAACTTTTCGTTTTGATTATGCCTTTGATGACATGGCTCCTAATGAAATGGTTTACAGGTATGTGTATGTGGTTTCTTTGGTGAATCTTTTTTCTCATATATCTCTAATGTCAATAACTGTGGGCTTACCTTGGTCATGGACTTCTATTCTCTGTGTTATCAGATATGCATATTGCTAACTCCATTCTTTTGCCTGTTCACTTTTGGTTTAGCTCTGTTTATCCTGAATCCTGCTCTCAATTCTCCACCAAGACCTTTCCAGGCTCTAGTGTGTATTGCCTCCTCAGGAGGCAAACAAATCAGGAGAGGGTGGGGAAAGAGTACAGAGAGAGAGACCCCAAGGTATTTGGATCTCTATTTTCTCCTTTATTCTTCTGTTTCACTTCCACAGTTGGAACAGAATAATGCACACAGTGTTTTAAAAAACTTGTTTAGAAGTAGTTGTTTACCTTGTATAAGTTGCTAAATGAATTAGATACAGTAGCAGGCAAGGTTATACACCATGACAGGTCGTAATCTTGGTACACAGTCTAAATATTGTGAATATTTTTGCAAGGAATATTGATATTAGAAAGGAACTTGATTATTTCCTTTATGCTTAGAAAGTGCTTCCTATAGCCTTAAGGAGTAGGGACAAAGAATTATCTCAATTCTTGTTTTTAATCCAACAATTAGGAAGTGAAAGTTGGCATCATATCCTGACTGATGTTAGATGCTAACATCCTGTTGGTGGATAAAAGAATTATTAAAAGGTCTTGAAAATCAAAACTTGTGTCTTATGCTTGATATAAATGAGAAGTGTAGCAAAAGTAAAAACTTCTTAGGTTGTCAATTTACACTAATGAAAAACCTTCTAAACAGCAAAGTTGTGCCCTTGGAAATTTCCGTCTCTAATGATTGTCTACTGGTAGTATCTTTTCTTTCTTGATAGTAAAGAGTTGTGGGAGAGTGATCTAGTTGGTGAGATGTGCCTCTGTCACAGGGAGATAACATCTTCAAATAGGGTAGTAGTTGAGCTCTGGTCTTTCCCAGGCAGCTGTTGTCTTGGCACTGCTCAAACCCCTTCTGACTTATAGTTGAGAGGTCACTTCCTGGCTCTCCTTGCTCACTTACTGGGTAGAGTCAGTATCCCTTAGGACTTTCCAACACAAGAGGGGGAGGAAAGTGACTCAGATTCGAAAAATACTTGGCTAGAGATGCAGTGAAACAACACTGGAGGTGAGAGAGAGTGTTTGAGACATTTCTTGGAAGGGTTCAAAGGGGTCTCCACCCCATGTCCTTCCTTTGTCTTGAGGAGTTTTGCTTTTCTGTTTAGCCTTTTCCTTACAGCCTCTTGCAATAGTTTTCCTCCTGCTTAACAACCAGTTCTTGTAATCTCTCTTCTTCATGTTATTTGTCTTTGTGAGCATAGTGTTTAAATGTGAGGGCTGTTTTTAATATACAATGTTATTATGGTTTTGTATTGAGTTTCTTCTGCAAAACTTTTATTAGATGCATAATAAATTAATAGTAATATGGGAAAATATTGAAAGATACTTGTATTCATACTGAAACAATAAATCTCTAGTCTGTGTAGCAGTACAGGCTTTTTTCTTCTCCCTCATATGGCAGAATAATGATTATGACATGAAGGATAATCTGCTTCAAGGCCTCCTGTAATAGCACATTTAAGAGGAAAATAGGTATCATTGCCTGATCTAACCAGAACTATCAGGGTCACAGCAGGGGGGAAAAAAAGTATGACAAGTTACTTCAGTTTTCTTCAGTATGCTAAAATTGCTCATTGTATTTCTATACTGAAAAATGTTCTCAAGAAATGTATTACTCTTATTTTTTATTATTATTTTACTTAAGTTGTATTTTAAGTATTTTTGAATCCTTGAGCCGCAACATTGAGTTGCAAGTTTTCTTTAGTATTAAAAAACTGAAATGCCTTTTGAATTTTAAAGGAGAATCAGAGTTTATATTTCTGAATGATCAAGATTGCAAATAAAGGTTCTACTAGAAGGAAAGTTTGACTGTTTTGGCATGGTACCATTTGGAGTTGTATAATGTTTTACAATAACTTCTCTAGATATGTTTACATTTTGCCTTATTTTAAAATACATATAATAAAGTCAATTTTTTATAAATCATCAAAATAAATCATTCCAAACTCAGTTAAACAGAGATAATGGAATGTGCTTCTTAGGTGGATAGGTTTCCTGAAATTGATTGGGAATATCCTCTTGAGGACAAAAGAGGTATATAAATTGGAGGATGTAAACAAGTCTAAGGCTGATCAGGAATCATCTGGTACATTTTTGATGAAAACTGATGATTCAGTTAAACTTAGATTTTTGCATAACCCTTGGTTGCTGAATGTCCCATATTATTTTCATAAGTAATGTTATATTTGTTCCAAAGTGGAATGAAAGGATGTTTTAACACCTCAGTGTTTCTGTAAACATTCATTCTTGTTTCTGTCACTAATCATACTTTATTTGTAAACACCTGGAAAAAGTTTAGAAAGAGAGACTCAGCTCCATCACCTGGTGGAGGTAACCCCCCATAAAGTTACCCTTTGCTTTTGGAGGTTTTAATGAAGTAATGGTGAAAAGAAGCTGAAGTAGGAGTAATAGCTATATTTATTTAAGTAAAAATTCCCTAAAATAGAAAAATTATGCTTTGGAAAATATTTTTGACACATCAAATAATAATTAAGTTATAACTGGATTTTTCCATTCTGATGAGCTTGGATAAAAGTTTTATTGAGCCTTTTCTCAGCGTAACTATGTTCTCAAAATATTTAAAAATGTGCAATGTTTTTTTGGCCATCTGTCTTCTACACTTACTTTTGGAAGATGATTTTGGGAAAAAAAACTATAGTGGAATTTTTGTATTGGCAAAATCTAAGTATTTATCGGCTACACTGTCCTACTTCTGTATCTTACAATGGTACCTTCTTTAAGGAGCTCCAAACTCCATGTAATAAGATGTGCTGTGTTGCATCACTAAAACAAGAAATTTTTTTTTCTGAGGGTTTGAAGGAAGATAATATTTTTGTAAAATAAATGGGAAACACCTTGTAGTTTTTCTTTAATTGTCTGGGATATTTGAATGCCTTAGAGCTGGTAGCTTCTTTAGTTCAGGAATTAATGTGGAGATGTCCTTTGCCCTCTCAAAGTACAGAACCAGTTTTGTCACTTGTGGAATTAAAATTTATAGTGCCCTTGTGGTAGTGTGGGATTTTTAAGTAATTACATATCTTAAGTACTGTTGTTTTTTGCATTTAAGGTTTACAGCTCGACCATTAGTAGAGACCATATTTGAAAGGGGAATGGCCACTTGTTTTGCATATGGACAAACAGGCAGTGGAAAAACCCATGTAAGTATTTCTTCTACATATCAGCAACACACTTCTTTTTATGTATGATACACTTCTAATTCTAATAAGTAACAAATATGTAAGTTACAGTTCTATGATCTTTATAGTGTATTTTTGGTCTTTTTTGGTTTTTTTTAATTTAGACTATGGGTGGTGACTTTTCAGGAAAAAACCAAGATTGTTCTAAAGGAATATATGCACTTGCAGGTGAGACTTTATACTTCCTTTGGTTTTTGAAAATTAGTTGTCTTACTTTAACAAGACAAAAATGTCTACCGAGGATGTCAGAATAGGAAAAACCAAACTCCTCCCTCTAAGTGATTATAACTTTGAAATTAAGAGACTTCAGATGAAAAAGTGTGGAAAAAGAAATAACAACTCTTTACTAAATATATATATATGTAACAAAACAGAACAAGCAACAATACCGTAACTGAAACTTTCACTGAAAACAATTAAGTATTTGTGCCTTTTGGCGCAGTTATAACCACACCCAGCAGGGGGCAATGGCGTATCTTGGAAGGCAGGGGCTGCAGTGCCTCACTCACGCTCACCAGGTGGCGCTGTTGGGCTCTGGCGAAATGCTGGAACTGCAGTGACTCCCTTTCAACCAGCAAGGGACGCTGTTGTGCCTCGGGAGAAGCGAAGGCTGCAGTTACTCACTGACGGCCGGCAGGGGGCGCTGTCGGGCTCTGGTGGCTGCCACTCCCACGAGCGCCGGCGCCCGGGAGGCAGGTGAGTCGACCTCCTGGAGGGCGCGGGCCACCGCCGGCACGGGAAGGGAGAAGGGGGAAGGATGGTGGAGAGGGTTCCTGTGGACTCACGCTGTCGAAGGCTGGCTCTGGCTGGGACCCCCTTGTCGATGGGTGCAAGCTGCTGCCGGCAGGGGAAAGGAGGAAGGGAGAGGGTGGCCTTTCCCCTCAAGGGCTTCCGTGGACTCACCTATCGAGGGTTGGCTCCAGCTAGGACCCTTTCTACCGATGGATGCAAACTGCTGCCTACACGGGAAGGGAGGAGGGGGAAGAAAAGGTGCAGGCAGATGCCCCCACACCCTTCTGAGCTAGGCAAGCGATCCAAAATCCAGACCGAACCACTCCAGCCCCCACCACGTGACTCCCCCTCTAAAAAAGGTAAAAAGCCCGGCAAAACGCAAGCACCTCCCAGCCAAAAACTGCCAGCCCCTTTCCCCTTACACCCCACTCCACCCCCCGCCCCTTTCCCTCTGGCTGCTGCCTCGGTCAAGGTTACACAGTGAAATTTACCTTCCCCCACTGCCTCAAGCAGAGGCAGAGGAAAACAAGTCCCACTTTTTGCAAAGTCATTAGCTTTTCAATGGGGGGCAATTAGACTCCGAGCTAGAAAACAACGGTTCATCTTATCCTAGCAGACTGTTGGTGTGGGAAATTCAACAAAAAAAAAAGTATGAAACTATAACATTAGTTGAGGTCAATACATTTCTACTTCCTGTTGTACAAACATAAGGGTCTATGTATTTTGCATTACAGTGGAACTTTGATAACATAAAAAATAGTTCCTAGATGTGCAGATTTTACACAGGAAGGTAAATATATATAGATAATTTCAAAAATATAAGAAATATAAATGATGATTGAGTTTACAATTTTGGAGTCTCCTGCATCTTCCAATATAATGTGGCAGTTTAAATGAAAGTGTTTTTTATTTGATTGACTTGATTGACTATTACACTTGCAAAATATGAGATGCTATAAAATAGACTGCTATGCATTAATGAGTCTTCACTAAATGAAAATACATAACTACTTTTTTTTTTTTTTTGTAAATGTATTCACAGCTAGAGATGTCTTTTTAATGCTAAAGAAACCAAACTATAAGAAGTTAGAACTTCAAGTATATGCAACATTTTTTGAGATCTATAGTGGTAAGGTAAGTACATGATCTTTTCCTGAGGAAGGTGGAATTTCTTTTTCACAAAACAGATTGTGAGCTTGTCACATAAAAGATTTTTTCCCTTCTTGTACTGAAAACTTTATTTCAAATAATTCTTTACAATTCTCTTTCAATCACAGAATTGGTCAGGCTGGAGGGGACCAATCTCCCTGCTAAAGCAACATTATGCATGGAATGCTTTGCATATTTTGATATGAGATTTGAAGCAAAAATGTCTTTTAAAGCTCCTCTATAACTGTTCTGTTCCTCTCCTCTCCAAGGTTTTTGACTTGTTGAATAGGAAGACAAAATTAAGAGTATTAGAAGATGGTAAACAGCAAGTCCAGGTGGTGGGATTACAGGAACGGGAAGTCAAATGTGTTGAAGATGTTCTTAAGCTTATTGAAATAGGCAACAGCTGCAGGTATCTCCCATAACTTTCACCAATTTTTCACTGTAAATTAAAGATTTGGAACAAGATTTTTTTGGTGTCTCTTCATAGTGATGGCTTTTTAATATGTGGTGGTATTTTGATGATGTTGGCTGCAAGTAAGAAATCTGCCTATCTTTTCAATAAAGATAGTTTAGATTTTCTCAGCTAGAGAGAAATAACTGATTTTTCTACAGAATGTGAATTGCATGCATTATATAACCAGTTTGTTGACTTAAATTCACATAATCTGGAATACTGCCAGATTCGTCAGTTCTAAAAGGCCTTGATATGTAGTGACAGAAGTATAAAAGTTGGGGTTCTGTTAAGATCCAGCTTTATTATTTTTAAAATCAGTCTTCTGCTACCTGATTAGATAAAAGTACCACATGTGACATTTTGCATATAAGCTCTCTGATAGTCTGAAATCTTTGGAGATCTGATTATTCTTGCTTTTAAGAGATTAGTAAAATGTTACTAATCTTCCATTTCTGTTTGAAGAATTGGAGAAATAGGTATAATTATACTGTGCACATCGAATTATTAAAAACAGGACTCTGCCCTGAAAAAACTAATGTTCTTAGGGTAATGTGTTTAACATGTATGGTTCTTTGCCTGTTCATATGTCCTTCCTTTTTTCATTTTGTTAAAGGACATCTGGCCAGACATCTGCAAATGCTCACTCATCTCGAAGCCATGCAGTGTTTCAGATTATTCTCAGAAGGAAAGGGAAATTGCATGGTAAATTTTCTCTGATTGATTTGGCTGGCAATGAAAGAGGAGCAGATACTTCCAGTGCAGACAGGCAGACTCGGCTGGAAGGTGCGGAAATTAACAAGAGCCTTTTAGCACTCAAGGTAACTGAAATGTTTCCATTGCTTTTGAGTAGTTTAAAGCCTTCTACATATAATAGCAATGGCTATTGAAACAAGTGTTTTTGCAGGCTTTGCTTGTCTACATTGTCTACTGATGTGACAGGTAAAATGACATCTTGTTTTTCCTTTAAATGCCTGAAAAAACACCTGGTAATTACCAAGTAGAAACATTGCAGAAACATTGTGCTATCAATTTTCATGTAGTTTAAAAAAACAAACAACAAAATCCCCAGTAGTTGAATTTGAACACTTCTTTTTGATACATACCTATTTTTTTAATTAAGAAAAGATAAAAAAATATACCTTTTGTAGTGGTTTAACCCCAGCTAGCAACCTCCCAGCCAACTCCTCCCAGTTTATATACTAGGTGTGATGTTCTATGGTGTGGAATATCCCTTTGACCAGTTTGGATCAGCTGTGCTGGCCATGTTCTCTCCCAGATTCTTGTGCAGCTCCTCACTGGCAGAGCATGAGACACTGAAAAGCCCTTGACTCAGGGTAAGCACTTCTCAGCAACAACCAAAACATCAGTGTATTATCAGCATTTATACTGAATCCAAAACACAGCACTGTGACAGCTACTGAGAAGAAATTAACTCTATCTTAACAAAAACCAGGACAGTATCCACCCCTTATTCCATACCATTTACATCATGCCAGATCACACAGTTCCCAATACCCTATCATCTTTCCTGTCTTTTGATAGATATACACAGATATCATTCCCTTAGTCTATGGACCATACCTATAAAAGTCCATTGAGCTCATTTAGTCCATGACCTTTTGTCATAACAGTCTTTCAGGGCAGGAAAGATGGTGAGTCGTGTTGGATTGTTGCATGCTGAAGCCAGTTCTGATTCCATCACTACTGCACTTGCCCAGCTTCATCAAAGTTCATTCTTTGTTAATGTGGCAATCGAAGTGGAGCTGGGTTCAGATCCTAAAACCTGGAGTGTCAGAGACTTGCGATGATGGATGTATAGCCACCATAGAAGTGATAATATACAGTGTTAATAATATAGCAATATAATATAGCAGTGGGAGCCCCTGGTGGTCTAGTGGTTAAGGGTGCGGTGCTGTCACCGCTGAGACCCGGGTTCGATTCCCGATCAGGGACACTCCCCGGGCAGATGGAGCTCGTTAGCCCTTAAAGGCAACCCATCTACGTCCTGAGGATCTCGCTGCCACCATCCAAGCTTACTTGGCCCTGGCAGATGAACCTTAGGATTAAAGGGTGGGCTCAGTTCCGCGCACACTGTGTCTCACCTAAAAAATCCAATGCGCAGGCTGGAAGGTGTAAAGACCTCCCCTGGATCTTCGCTTGTGAAGACTGACCATTATAATATAGTAGCGTATAATATAGCAATTAACATCATACAGTTAAATTCAGAGACTATTCTTACCCAAAATCAAATCCCCTTGAGACACACACCAGACTTCTTCATCCTCTAGCATTACCCACCATGTGCACTCAGGTCATTCAGCAAAAGCAATCCCACAGATGGGTTTGCCTGTGCCTGAGGCAGGGATAACCCAGACTGTTTCCCCCAGCATGTTTTTAATGTGCACTGCAGGAACTCTTTCTCCTTCTACAGTATGTAAAAGTTTTGATTGGGCAGGGCCAGCCCGATTGGCAGATCCTCTGGTGTTGACTAACCAGGTGACCTTTGCCAAATGTATATCTCAATGTTTGAAGGTCCCCCCACCCATTGCTCTCAGCATAGTTTTTAATGATCCATTGCACTGTTCAGTTTTCCTGGAGACTGGTGCATGATAGGGAATGTTCATTGGCCCAGGTGTCTATGAGGTTGTTTTGGAAATGGGTTTCGTTGTCTGACTCAGTTCTTTCTGGAGTACCGTGTTGCCATAAGACTTGCTTTCCAAGGCCCAGGATAGTGTTCTGGACTGTGGCATGTGGCATAGAGTATGTTTCCAGCCATCCAGTGGTTGCTTCCACCATCATAAGCACATGGCACTTGCCATCATGGGTTTGGAGGAGTGTGATAGAGTCAGTCTGCCAGACCTCCCCATACTTATATTTCAACCATTGTCCTCCATAGCACAGAGGCTTTAACCACTTAGCCTGCTTAATTGCAACATGTTTCACATTCATGGATAACCTGTGCAATAGTGTCCATAAGTCCACCCCTTGATCACGAGCCCTCCTCTGGTGACATTCCAAAATCTTTGCCTTCTGACCAGTCCATGATAACTTCCAATATTCCTGGATGACTGGGTTTCCTATTTGAGCTCATTGTGTGATCAGTGTGAGCCACTTACTCCATGTAGTATCAGTTGCATGATGTGTAGAGGAAACCCTCCCTTTGAACATCCAACCCAACACGGGTAACTGAGGTGCCAGGAGAAGCTGGGCTTCAATACCAATCACCTCCAAAGCAGCTCAAACCCCTTCATAAGCTACTGGTATCTCTTTTTCAGTTGCAGTATACTGAGCTTCATATCCTCTGTATCCCTGACTCCAAAAGCCTAGAGATTGACCTCGAATCTCCCATGGTGCTTTCTGCCAGAGGCTCCAGATATGACCATTCTCCCCAGCTGCGCTGTAGAACACATTTTATACATCTTTCCCTGTCTGGACTGTCCCAAGGGCTACAGCATGAACTATTTCCTGTTTAATTTGTTCAAAGTCTTGTTGTTACTCAGGGCCCTATTTGAAATCATTCTTCTTCCGGGTCACTTGATAGCAAGGGCTGACAATCAGACTAATTTGGAATGTGCATTCTCCAAAATCCTACAACACCTAACAAAGCTTGTTTTTTTCTTGCTAGTTGTTGGAGACATTGCTACTGATAACGTTCAGCTTGCCATTTTATTCATAAAAAAGGGATCTCCTGTACAGGACCCTTGACCTTTGTTTTATAGTAAAGCCATCTTTCAGAAGGATTTGGACTATTTTCCTCCCTCTCTCAAAAACTTCCTCTGTTGTATTGCCCCACATCATGATACCATCAATGTATTGCAGGTATTCTGGAGCTTCACCCTGCTCCAGTGCAGTCTGGATCAGTCCATGGCAGATGATAGGGCTATGTTTCCATCTCTGGGGCAGTCAATTCCAGGTATACTGGACACCCCTCCAAGCGAAAGCAAACTGTGGCCTGCACTCTGTCACCAAAAGTATTGATAGAAACACATTAACGATATCAATAGTGGCACCACTGGGCTGCCTTTGACTCCAGTTTCGTATTGAAGTTCCAGCACTCTATTCCAGCTGAAACCAGAACACTTTTATGACAGATTTATTTACCACTGTTAATTAATCAACTAAAGAAGAAAACAACAAAACAGCACTACATCCATAAAGAATTAATGAATAAAATAAAATAACCTTGAAAAATTGAAATCCATTTTTCATAAAATCGAGGAATCATTTAGGTTGGAAAAGACCTTTAACATCGAGTCCAATCGTTAACCCAGCACTGCCAAGCCCACTACTAAACCACTTCCCCAAGTACCACATCTACATGTCTTTTAAATCCCTCCAGGGATGGTGACTCCACCACTGCCCTGGACAGCCTGTTCTAGGGTTTGACAACACTTTCAGGCAAGTCTTTCTATCCCAAAGAAACTCCTCCCAATACTGAGAGACTTTGCCTAAATGAGGATTTGAGGACTCTTGTCTCATTACAATATTTTACAGTAAAACATCTGAAACACTGCTCTTTTTTGAGTTTTTTCACTGTTCTTTATAGCAAATTGTCTGATACAATCACTGCAGTTTTTCATATATTAATCAAGAAGACATCAAGAGAACTAAGAAATATTATTTAAATAATCAAATACTTTTATTATTTGTTTTATAATGCTTGAAAGATGTTCAGTCTAAATAGGGAAAGTAATTTTTTTGTCTTGGTTGGGAAAATGGTAGTTTTGAATGGTTCAGAACTTATCTTGGTTGTTGGTCAGCTTTACTTAGGTTTACTACTCACTGCACCAAAACCTCACTGCATCTAAACCCAAAAATCACTGTGCCTAATATTTTATCCTAGTATAAACTTGTGAGACTTGTATCAGACTCTAAGATCTCACAAAACACCACAAAATTGTAATGTGGCATTACAAAATTGTATGTCATGTTGAAAAATTGGAAGCAGCAGTTGCAAAACTGTTTTGATTTAGTGTAAAAATAAACAATGCAAACGATATTGTGTTCACGTTAGCAGATGTTTCCATATGTAATTGAATAATGCTGTTTTGTTTTAGTTTACTTGCTGATTTTGTGCTGTCTAGTGCCTTCAGTGCAATACTCATACAACATAATGAGTTCATTTTCAGAGAACTTGTCTGTCTAATTATAGTGAAAGGCTCTACTGCTGCTGTACTGGTGATCATGATCTAAATTATATGTAAAAGGGAAAATAAAAATAAGTGGAGGCCTTGCAGAGGTTTAAAAAGTGGTAAAGGAAGATATAAATGTTTCTCAATGATATGGTAATTTTCCATTTTTCATCTATCCCCAAAAACATTACACAACTTTTTCCATTTGTATTCAAGACCCTTGAAGTTATTGTCATGTTCTAATTGAACTAGTATATTCTGAGAAGTGGTTTTGGTGCTGATCCAAGATTTACTATTTGCATGTGGATATCAGTCTTAACCTGTTCAGATTTTTGGTACAGGAAATTATTTCTGTAATGTCTCTACATAGAAGTAGTGTTGTAATTTTGTTACCTGATTTTCTGAGCTGTGATAAAAGCAAAAGTAGTTAAAAACCCCATTAATTTAGAAGCTGACAGTGTCCTCCCATAATCCTTTTACTATTAAGGGGACAATGTAACTCTACATTTTCAAGGGTGACCAAACTAAAAATCTTTACAGTATATTAAAATAATTAAACTTGTTGCCATATCAGTAATTCAACATACACATTTGTACTGGTTTTAGTTTGTAATGTCACTTGTTGAAACTCTGTTGCCCCTCTTCCTGTCTAATCTGCTTTTCTCCTTATGTAAGTATAGTAGTAATGTACAAACAAATGAAAAAATTCTAGGAATGCATTGCTATACTCACCTATAAGTATTGAGTCTTTTTTATCGATTGCATGTGAAATTCACATTCAATAAGCTTTGGACTTTCTGTTCATCTGAGATGTGTTCATTCTATAACATTCAGCTGATGATTTTTAAAATAATCAGTTAAAACTGGCTTGCCCTTGTGTTTGTTCTGTTGTGTATCATGTCAGTTTTCTTTTGAACCTGTTTAGTTGTTTTATGCTGTTTCACAGTTGCAATGCTTTCTTAGCTTATCATCCTACAGTTTCTAGCTTGGCTTTTGAAAGAAACTGTTTCTAGGAAATTTCAATAGGCCACAAGGATATGGATGCAACTTGAGAATTAACTGAATTACTGTAGAACTATTCATGCAACACAAAAGCCATTCCATCTGTTAGTCTTGCTAAAAGCAAAGCTATAATATGAAAATATTTTGATGTACAGTTTTTTGAAGAAGTTCTGTGTGTAAATATGTTAAAACTGTACCAAGGAAGCCCTGAATCTGAAGAGGTGCCTGTACACAAAGTATTAAGACAAAGACAGAAACTGTAATTAATGATCAAAATATGACAACAACAGCAAAACAAATTTAAATTTGAACTTTCTGTAAGAAGTAATTTATTAACTGATGTTAGAGCTCTGAGTGGGCAGAAGTGATGTTTAGATTAGTGTGATCTTGGTTTGCACTATTGTACTTAGTTGCTTCTGTAACTTCTATAGTAATTTTTCAATATTTACTTCTGTACAGTATTTCTCTCTGGAACTCTCCAACCAATTGCAAATATTAGTTTAGCCCCATACCCTTTGTGTGAGTGAAAGGGGAGGGAGATGTTATCCCTGTTCTTCACATGAAGAATGTTTTAAAACAGGGAATGACTTACATTTTCAAGTGTTTCCCAATATTGAGTACATCAATACAGAGCTATACGTACTAGGTTTGTGACCTGTGGAAGCTTTCAGAAAGTTTGGGCACCAGTGTTTTCTCCTAAAGAAAGTCAGTGGTAGAGCCAGAATCAAAGCTACTGCTTTCAACTGATAGAGTTAATGTGAGTCACTGTCCACACTTGCTGACAGAGGCTGTAGATCATTCAAACTTTTGCAGATCATAATCAGAAATAGTTGTTAGTCTGGAGATTAAACATCAACAATTAATTTTTTGTTGTTGTTGAATACAATATATATAAACATTTTGGATGAGATTCAGAAAGTTTTTAGGCTTCTAAGTCCGTTTTAAGTTCCTACCTCTCTACTGAGCTTAATGAGAGATGAAAGCCTAACACTACTTGAATTCAAGCTTACATAACTTCAGCAACATAAGTAAGGCATATATTTTTTGATTTTGAATTCCATTTGTATTATGTATTTTTCTTAAACATATTGTATAAATATGAGGTTTTATTCTGATTCTATGAAATATAAACCTGTTTGTTCTTTCAGGAGTGCATTAGAGCCTTAGGTCGAAATAAACCTCATACACCATTCAGAGCAAGTAAACTTACTCAGGTGCTAAGAGATTCATTCATAGGAGAAAACTCCCGTACCTGTATGGTAAGTTTGTTTAGTTAACTGTATGTTTTAACAATAATTTAACTTTATACATTAACTGAGACTATAATTGGAGTGAGTCTTTCAACAGAGTGATTTCAGATAACTTGCTCCCTTCTCATTTTTTGTTGACCTTTCTTATTGCTTGTTCTAGTTTTCTAACTAGACACATAGCTAGAAGCACTTTAGCTTGAGTTTTTTTTTGTTTGATTGTTTTTAATAATGTCTTAATTATATGAGAATATTGCTTGTTGAATCAGAATTTTTGAAATAATTATGTAGACTGGAAGTGTAGAGGTGAGTTATCTTTAAATAACAAATTTATAATTGGTATCAAAGGCATCAGAATATGCTCTAGGTTGTTAAGGGGAGAAGTATTTGGAATAGATGGGATGAATAGTTGTGTACTGTATAAATGTGCATTTGCATTAATATGAAAAAACAGAATTCTTCTGTCAGATGGTGGAAAGAACAGACAAAAGCACAGATGTCCAGTGGTTTTATTTGTGCATCCTTAACGTTTCTCCTTATGGAAATGTAAACTCTATGCAGTGAACATTGATTTAGGCTTGTTTGCTGTAGTGGGTTGACCTTGCCTGACTGCCAGGTGCCCACAGAGCTGTTCTATCACTCCCCTCCTCAGTAGGACAGTGGGGGGAAAATAAGATGGAAAAGAACTTGTGGGTCGAGATAAAGGCAGTTTAATAAAGCACTGTCTCAGTTTAAAATGAGACACAAGTGTTTTGCTGAGGATGAGTTATGAGGAAGACCCAAACTCCTCCCTCTAAGCAATTATAAATCCAAAATTAAGAGGCACCGATTGAGGGGAAAAAAATTGTGGAAAAAGGAAAAAATAACAGCCCTTTATTTAAAGATATATGTGTATTGGCAGAAACAACGAAAGAAAACAAGTAAAACAACCAAACAATACTCCTTTACCCACAAATAATCCCCTTCAAAACATACCAATAAACAAGCAAAGAAAAAAGTAAACAGTTCAGTTTGTACCCTTTGGTGCAATTCTAACCACAGTCAACAGGGGGCACCATTGGATCACTGGAGATGCAGAGCTTGTAGTGTCCTGTACCAGTCACCAGGTGGTGCTGTTGGATCACTGGAAATGCAGAGCCTGCAGTTCTTTATGCTGGTCAGCAGGGGGCGCTGTGGAATCACTGGTCGTTGCCACGTGGGGGTAACATCCTCCGGGGTGTGTTGGAGAAACTGAAAATGGATTTCCCTTCCCCCACACACACACTGGGAAAGGGGAGAGAGAGGAGGGAGAGAAACAACAACAAAAAAAGTCCTCCCCAATGGGAAAAAACTCACTCTTTCTGCTGACCAAATCGTGCAGTATAGTTTTCCTTCTCCCTTTCATGTGCACAAGAACCACTACTAAGAAAGAAACAAATGGGAACGGGGAAGGGAATAGAAAAAAAAACAAAACTCCTGAAGCAGTTCCTCTCTGATGAAAAATCCAAGCAGAATCCACAGTTGGCAACCAGGCTGAGAACAAAACCCCACAGAGCTTCCACTCTGACCTTGTTCCAGCTTTAGCAGCCAGCCAGAACTCCTCGCCTCGTTTCCCAGGAGACAGGAGAAAAAAAAGTAAGAAGCTTCTCACCCCCATTTCCCAGGAGATGAGATTCTGAGGCCATTAACTAGAAGGTAGTTCCTTTTGTGCTCCTTATCATGACTAGACTTCGCGAACAAAGATTTGAGAAGGGCTCTATCCACACTTGCTACAGGCACGCTGATGGCTAAAAAGGCCAATGCGAGATAGACAAGTCCGATTGCAGAAGGCACAGCAGAAAGACTCCCCAGGTGATATCGACAAGACGCAATTCTTTCTGCATTGTCTTTTCTCCTCGAGAGTGATCCTGCGTGTGTTCTCAAAAGCAGCAACAGCGTTATAGATGGTGTGTCTCCAGGCCTCCCTATTGGAGGCCAGGGTAGACCAATGGTGGTGATCAATATGGTCAAGGTTGAGGGATTGTTTCAGGCAGTCCTTGTGTCTCCTCTTCGGGGCTCCTCTCTTGCGGCAGCCAGTGGCAAGTTCCCCATATAGCATGATCTTAGGGAGGCGGTAGTCCTGCATCCTGGAGACGTGCCCTGCCCAGTGCAGCTGTGTTCTCAGCAGCATGGCCTGAATGTTCATGACTGCTGCCTGTTCAAGGACAGACGTGTTGGTCACATAATCCGTCCAGTGGATGTTTAGGATTGTACGGAGGCAGCGCTGATGGAAGCATTCTAAGAGACGCGAGTGGTGGCGGTAAATGACCCATGATTCAGATCCATATAAAAGAGTAGACAGTACAATGGTTCTGTAAATGCTGATCTTTGTACTTCTCTTCAGGTGTTTGTTTTACCACACTCTTTTATGGAGTTTACCAAAAGCTCTGTATGCCTTTGCTAACCTGTTGTCTATTTCTGCATCAATCTTACCGTCTGAGGAGATGATGCTTCCCAGGTAATTAAATTGCTGGACTGATTTAAGCTCTGTTTCACCAATGGTGATATGGGGATGATGGGAGACTTCCTGAGGTACAGGCTGACATAAAACTTCTGTTTTCTTCAAACTGACTTGCAGCCCAAAAAGCTCAGCAGCCTCTGCAAAGCAGGATGCTAAATGCTGCAGAGCTACTTCTGTGTGGGCAACGAGGGTGGCATCATCAGCGTAAAGCAGCTCACGGACAAGATGATTTAAGGTCTTAGTGTGGGCCTTCAGTCGCCTTAGGTTGAATAGGCTCCCATCGATACAATATCGAATGTAGACACCATTTTCATCATCGAGGTCTGCCGTGGCCCTTTGGAGCATCATGCTGAAGAAGACTGTGAATAAAGTTGGTGCAAGAACGCAGCCTTGCTTCACACCATTGGCTATTGGAAACGGCTCAGAAAGTGCATCACCGTATCTGACTTGACCACGTTGGTTCACATGAAGTGAGATGATCATTTTGAGGAACTTGGGGTGACATCCTAAACATTCCAAAATCTGCCACAGACCTTTTCTGCTCACAGTGTCGAAAGCCTTGGTGAGATCAACAAAGGTAACATGGAGTCCTTTGTTCTGTTCCCTACACTTCTCTTGCAGTTGTTTGAGAACAAATACCATGTCTGTGGTACCTCTGTTGGTTCGGAAACCACACTGACTTTCTAGGTAGAAGTTCTTCTGCTATGGCGGGTATCAATCTGTTCAAAAGAATTCTTGCAAGGATTTTACCAGCAATGGAGAGCAGAGTAATACCTCGGTAATTCGAGTAATCTGATTTATCTCCTTTCTTCTTGTACAAGGTGACGATGACAGTGTCACGAAGGTCTGAAGGCCTTAACAGAAATTTCGTGACATCCAGAACAAGTGGTGGACCAATCTAGCGGAAAAAATCCAATTATGCGCAGATACAAGTGACTACAGGGGATTCTACGAGGCTCTGAAAACAGCCTATGGTCCTACACACTGGGTTAAAAGCCCTTTACTCAGTGCAGATGGCCAAATGCTTCTCACAGATAAAGTTTCCATTTTGAATCAATGGTCTGAACACTTTCAGACTCTCTTCAGTACCAACCGTGTAGTTCAAGACTCGGCAATGCAGTACATTTCACAGCAACCAATGAAAACTGAACTGGATACTGCCCCCACCATGGGAGAAACTCTTAAAGCCGTACAGCAGGTGAAAATTGGCAAGGCAGCTGGGGTTGACGGAATCCCACCTGAAATCTGGAAGCATGGTGGCCAAGCACTCCATGTTAAGTTTCACGAATTTTTGGTGCACTGTTGGGAACGAGGTGAACTGTTCCTTAACTGCCCCCTTAACATCCCTGCACGCAGTGGACAGGGGGAAGGGAAAAATTCCTGCCTAGTTTCTAAGAACCAGCAAAACCATGACAAGCATAACCAAAGGCCATGTGCAGAAGCAAAGGACAATCAAAATGTTTTTTTCTCTACTTCCCATCAGCAGGCAACATCCAGCCACTTGTCGGGAAGCAGGACTTCAGCATGCGTAGCAGTTTCTCTGGAAGATGGTCATAATAATGAATACCCCCCTTCCTCCTTCTTTCTCTTAGCTTTTATTGCTGAGTATATGTCATATGGTATGGAATATCCCTTTGGTCAGTTTGAGTCAGTTGGCCTGTCTATGTTCCTTCCTAGGATTTTGCCAAGCCCCAGCCTACTGGCCTTGGGGGTGAGGGGGTGGAATGTTGGAGAAAGTAGTGCTCAGCAGAGAACACACCAGTGTGTTATCAACACTTTTCTGGTTACCAATGCAAAGCACAGCACTGTGAGGGAAAATTAATTCCATCTCATCTGGTTACTTTCCACAGGCTCCTTGGAATTAGTCTAGAGGTCACAGAAATCTGTAGACCACAATATGAAAACCGTGGTGTTAGGGCAACCTAATAGCCAATGTATCCACACTGCTAAAGAAGTTTTGGAAAGTTAGCCTGTTGGGAATTGCTCTCTATACATAGAAGGATTAACATTTGTGAATGTTTCATGAAGTTATTACCATCACCTTTACCACTCCTAAAGTGCTAACAAGCTGTCTTCATTTTGGTGAAGCTTTTTTATGTAATTGTTAGTCTTCTTATAGAGTTGATGTCACATTTTTCCTGTTTAAATGCAGAGAATCCAACTGAGAATAATTCATGATCAATGGGTGTTTAATTTCTGATAAAGCTGCATTTCTTCCTTTTATATTCAATTTAGTTCTAAATTAAGGAAAAAATCCCCTCTGAAAGTGAGTGAAAACATGTTTGAATTATTTTTTATTTTTTCATTTATAGAACTGCAGTCACTTTTTAATTAAGAATAAGAAAACCCTTTCATGATGAGATACTACTTTCAAACTCATTCTTGCTGTTACTATTTCATGTAGTTTCTCAGTACTAGGACCATTTGTAACATTCAGGATTTAGTGTTTGTTTACATGTAATTTTTATCAAGAATTTAATTGGCAATGTTTTTTCTTAAATACTGATGTAGGAAGAGTAGCACTTGGGTGGTT